CTCTGTTCAATATCGTTCACCAACTGATTGGTAAATATTAAATACATTTCTGCTGATAACGCACTCCCTTTGTAAGATACCTCTGTCTGGGGGTATAAATCTAGACTGTATGCCACTGAACACGTCACTATGTCCGACACCAGCATCTGATCCCATTAACAGGATTATGTTTTAAGTTTAAATCAATTTGATGAAGTTTGAATCGTAGTCCAGCGTACCATACCATGTTATTACTATCTAAAAAAACTGACATACACATTTCCACCTTTCTCCAAATTATACCTCACACACTATTGGGGATAAAACGAAGTACATAGACTAAACAATCCTTTCTGGTATCTACATAAGTAAATTATAAATATTCCAACATATCAACATAAAACCCGTCATTAGAGGCCTCTGTCGTGTACACAGCGTAACAGTACATCGTTTGCTTAGTAGATACGAATATTTCTATACCAACTATTCTCGGGTTGTCATTATCAATTTCGTGAATTTTAAATTCTGACTTTTTATAAAGTAATGCAAATCCACTTTTGATTTAAATTTATGTCTAAAAGGGTCAATTCAAATACAGCTATAACCCAATACAATAAATAACAATGTTCTCGGCAAAAACCTTGGGTTAAACTTTGAAAAGTTAGAATAACTCTGTCCACACTTCACAGAGGTGATGAACTATTCTATTTTTCTTTACTCCAGTATTGTTTTCTCTTTCCCGTTCCAGGTGTTGTGGCTGCGGTCGTGTTGAGTCTTCTCTTTGGTGTCTGTGTATTAGTCAGTACCCTTTACCTCTGGAAAAGGTAAATAACATTAAATAAGTTACTTGTTCAGGAACGAAATTCCATGTCAGACATAAAACATAAATCAAACCAATACATGTACAAAGGAATGGACCGCTAATACATCTCGTAATGAATTGGTTATAATGTCAAATCATTGTGTTCTTATCTATAGCTGTTATAGCTAAACACGCAGGTAGCAATCACGAGATAATGCTAGATTCTTGATAAACACTGTTGAATGTGAATGATAATTTGTAACTGAAATATTGTATATTTTCAAGTGATTGTGTTTTGGGTACGTGATCTCAATTCTGAAATGTTAGGTTTGTGACATTCTCAACCACTGAATTTTCGTCAGTTGTAGAAGGATGAAACCGCTGTATGATGCGGTTTACTTCGTTATCAGGCTATGCTGTATTTATTTCTAAATTTGTATAAAAAAAAAGGTGTTACTAACTTGTGTGTCTTCAAGAACAAGCTTGGCTGATTCTTATTTTTTCCTTCGTGACCTGCAAGATCTAGACACCTCAAGTACCTGATATTACTAAAGAGTCATAGCAGGATGAAACCGCTGCACGATGCTGTTCTCCTATTTGCATTTACGGTATCTAGTACTAGACATGTCGTGGAATCTGCTATTGTGTCATTTGTGAAATGCATTTTATTTTATTTTTTTTTTTTTTTTCGCAGGAGGGTGTTCTGTTTCCAAAATTTGAGTGTTGGTCAAGCTGTGGTAAATCGGTCCTACGACGCATCATTCATTGAGAAACCTGATCAGCAAGAAGATCCAACTAACCATGACCACGACTATGATGAAATAGAACATAAATTACGTCAGAGTGATGACGTAGAAGGGAAAAACGTCATCACTGATGACGACATTTATGCGCATCCTAATTTTAACTATGACGCAACAGACAATCATGATCAAAGTTCTCAGAAGTCCTACCTAGACATGGGGGCATCACTGCCGAAACAACGCGACATCGCCGTGGCAATAGATGAAGAGTATGTGTATATGGGCGACAATGCCTCAGAGAAAGGCGACGACAATGACGATGGAGATATGTATAGCTTCATGAAACCATGAGATTCAATTTCTTGAGGCAAATAAGGACTAAAAATGTCAAAAAAGTTTTACTCAAAGCTGCACACTTTGATTTTAATCAGTAATGCATAAAATGTCGTTCCCGTGTTATGCCGGAAATGAAGAGTGAGGCTCTGGTTTCAAAGATCCAAAGCAGAACACAATTATATTTAATGTATACAGCTGTTTGTTTACAAGTCGATCACGTACCATATGCTGTGACCATTTTATTGATATTTATGTTTAAGGCTTTTTAATTATTTCTTTGGTTTTCTTTACTTAAACGTGACACCAGTAACCTCAAGTCGTGACCCCTATAAACTTTAGTTGTAACCTCAAGTCGTGACCCCTATAAACTTCAGTTGTAACCTCAAGTCGTGACCTCAATAACATTCAGTTGTAACCTCAAGTCGTAACCCCTATAAACTTTAGTTGTAACCTCTAGTCGTGTTCGCAATAACATTCAGTTGTAACCTCAAGTCGTGACCTCAATAACATTCAGTTGTAACCTCAAGTCGTGACCTCAATAACATTCAGTTGTAACCTCAAGTCGTGACCTCAATAACATTCAGTTGTAACCTCAAGTCGTGTCCGCAACAACCTTCAGTTGTAACCTCAAGTCGTGTCCGCAACAACCTTCAGTTGTAACCTCAAGTCGTGATGTTATTACCATCAGTTGTAACCTCTAGTCGTGATGTTATTACCATCAGTTATAACCTCTAGTCGTGATGTTATTACCATCAGTTGTAACCTCTAGTCGTGACGTTATTACCATCAGTTATAACCTCTAGTCGTAATGTTATTACCATCAGTTGTAACCTCTAGTCGTGACGTTATTACCATCAGTTATAACCTCTAGTCGTGATGTTATTACCATCAGTTGCAACCTCTAGTCGTGATGTTATTACCATCAGTTATAACCTCTAGTCGTGATGTTATTACCATCAGTTATAACCTCTAGTCGTGATGTTATTACTATCAGTTATAACCACTAGTCGTAATGTTATTACCATCAGTTATAACCTCTAGTCGTGATGTTATTACTATCAGTTATAACCACTAGTCGTAATGTTATTACTATCAGTTATAACCACTAGTCGTGATGTTATTACCATCGTAATGTTATTACCATCAGTTATATTACTATCAGTTATAACCACTAGTCGTGATGTTATTACCATCAGTTATAACCTCTAGTCGTGATGTTATTACCATCAGTTGCAACCTCTTGTCGTGATGTTATTACCATCAGTAGCCCCTGTCACGACACCGATCGACCCAAGTCTTTCACTTTCAGTTACGACGTCAATAACTTCGGCAGTCACTACGTCAGTAAATCCAAGTAAACATATCATTACGTCTTAGATACATGTGTTCTTTCTATATCATGATCAAAAAGTCGTTTTGTCAATAATCTCAAGTTGAAATATTGCCGCGGCAGTCACAATCCAAGTAAAGATATCAACAACTCCCATTCATTACGTCAGAGATACATGTGTTCTTTCTATCACATGATTAAAATGCAAACAAATATGACGTATAGATTTTTTATTTAAAGCGATAATTTCAGAGGCGATAAGGCAACAAGGTGTATTAAACAAAAGCGAAGTAAGCCTCAGACACATACAGACGAAAACTTCACAATATCAAGGTTATTCTAATTACACAGACGAAAACCTCGCAATATCAAGGTCATACTAATTACACAGACGAAAACCACACAATTTCAAGGTCATACTAATTACACAGACGAAAACCTCGCAATAGCAAGGTCATACAAATAACACAGACGAAAACATCACAATATCAAGGTCATACTGATTATACAGACGAAATCCACACAATTTCAAGGTCATACTAATTATACAGACGAAAACCACACAAATTTCAAGGTCATACTAATTATACAGACGAAAACCTCACAATTTCAAGGTCATACTAATTATACAGACGAAATCCACACAATTTCAAGGTCATACTAATTATACAGACGAAATCCACACAATTTCAAGGTCATACTAATTATACAGACGAAATCCACACAATTTCAAGGTCATACTAATTATACAGACGAAAACCTCACAATTTCAAGGTCATACTAATTATACAGACGAAAACCTCACAATTTCAAGGTCATACTAATTATACAGACGAAATCCACACAATTTCAAGGTCATACTAATTACACAGACGAAAGCCACATGACATAAAGACTTGTTTTTACAGATAAAATATCTTCACTATCGATTCCACATATAACCAATAAAGTATTCACCATGAACAAGCATTGCTTATAACATAATATGAGTTACATTTAGTTAAAGCAGATCAAGATATGAATAATTAATATCATGTATTTATTGTTTAAGTAAAATGATGTCAAACACACGTGTATAAAGAATATTAATTGATAGCAAGCTATGCTTAAATATATATATATAAAATAATATCAATAACTGAAATTTCAAATAAACACAATTTTAAAAAAGTAGTAAGCCATGCTTGAAAAAATATCTAAATTAATATCGATGACTCAATTTTAAAAAGAACGATCATTTTATACGTGGCAAGTAGTGAACTTGATAAATAAATATAAAATGTCTTAATATCAATGACTCAAATTTACAGAAACATGCTGCTTTTTATTAATAGCAATTAATTTTTCGAATAAGTGCAAAGTGTAATTGGTTAAAATGTATACAACAATAAATATTGAGCTACGGTCTGATCATCATAACCTAGTTATCTTTGTATCTTAAGCTTTCAGCTTTCTGTTACATTTTGTAACATGTCAAGGCGGTAAGTATCTTGTTCCTTTCTCGTAAGAGTGAGAAAATACATTGTAAATTTCACCCCGATACAAGATATTAGCATTTAAATTCATATCAGCATACATTTTGAAAAACCAACTCTGTTCAAACGTAACTTATTCTCTCTATATATTTATGAAAAATGCATTCTTGTGTCACTAAATGAAGTCATTTTTTATATAATAACGAAAAAATCACTCTGCAAACTCTTCGCCACAAATAATGAATTTCCATCCATCCAGATATGTCCTGCCATAATAATCAATGATGAGAACACATCGCTGTGTACACTCTTAACCAATAAAACACTAGCCGTTTCTATAGCACCCAAACAACGCAGACTGCGAGGATACTATAAACAAGGGAGACAACTTGGACCAAGGGATGTGCTGAGTTCACTCCCCCTCCTCCATAAATGTTGTTTAGTTCCGCGGCTGTCATGTTGTTACACAAGTCCGTACTACATGAGTATGTACACTGTCTGTGTGACCAGTCGTCTACACACTGGTTAGAACGGGGCGCGGTGAACGGCAGACAGTTCCGATTAACCGACACTAGTTCGTTGGTATCTGGTGAAAAAAACACACAACTTTTGTATTAAATACTGATTTGGACCAATATAGTCTTAAAACTAACTTAATTCCTTTTCTGACAAGATGGAAATTAAAAAATAAAGTTGTTAAAGTGTAAAATAGAGAAATACACTTTTACGAGAAGACGCCAATTGAGAAATATACAAATTGCAGATATACCAATATAGAAAATGAAAGAAAGAAATTAAGGAAATACGGGATTTCAGAAAGATGTAGTTCACTTTCAGAAAGATCCAGGTCTTTGCTGTCCATCAGTATTACTTCCAAACACCATTTTTGGGGGATATCGCAGTGATGTAATGATCGGGAAGTCTGGCATTTCTCGAGCGAGCCGTCGATCATGAGTTCGAGACTCAGACAGAGCACGAGTCATAGATTATTTTCCTTCGTCAATTGTGATACACTGCCCAAAGTTATAATGTTACACGCGCTCGTGCGTGTTTCATTTTAAGGCAAAAGCTTTTTATAAGTTGTATAATTTGAGCTCAATCCCGTTGCGATTAAAATACAATTAAATATGCTTAAATCTAAAGTCACTGACCTCGGTTGAACTGGACATCGAAGGTACACACACGGTCGTCGGAACACTTCGTTTGACGATTAAAAAGTTTGGATGTTTCGTTCACACAATTGATCCCTATTGTTCCGTCTGTTGGTTTGTTGTATCCGCAGGTATAACACAAACGAGCTGTTAATAAAACATCAATGTCCATCAAATCGTGTCCATAATACATTGTAATTATCTACTAGAAAAGAGGAATATCTACATAACCATTTTGGGCCCCGATATATTCGGAGATGTTGTACAGTATTACATGCAGAAACTAAGGTAAGCGTCAGACCGTAAGTGCGTATTTGGGGCTACAAGAAGGGAAAGGATAAATCACACAGATAATATTCTGTCTTCAAAATGAGACAAAACAACAAACATTATCACATTTCTGGGTTTGAAAAACATATATGAATTGAACGGGAATATAATGAAAAAATGTCATAAGTTCAATGGTCACTAAGAGATTGTTTATATAAAATTTAGAATTAATTACGGGTGTTATTTTATATCATTTTCAATGGCAATGTGTTTTGTTTCCTCAATAATACCTTTTATAATGGATCATTTGAGTTGAAATTCACAAGTTTAGTCACATTTGATTACAGTCAACTGTTAATTAATTACACCTTTTCGTTTTGTTTCTTATTGAGTAATAAATTATGGACATATCCCAAACTTGGCAATTCTAAATATGTCTTGATTAAAAGGAGCAGGACACCCTTTACATGGCATAAAAGAATGATTGTAAATATTATACAGTCAAACTTCGTTCTTACGACATTCAATGGACTAACAAACAAAATGGATATATAGAGACTTCGAACCATTCGTGGTGGGTTATATCGACGTTTTTATGGCCAAGGCTATATATAGCTGATGACACAATATTTATACGTGAACAAACAAAATAATTACCAAAACACAAGTTTAAATGAAAGGATGTATTTTCATCTTAAAACAAGATATTTTCATTCAAAAAAAAAAAAAAATAAATAAATAAAAATATAACTTTAAATAGAAATCAAGGAGAAATGGATAATGTGTGCTTAAGTTTTCATTCGTGCCTTCTTGTCACACAGTATATGTATTTTACGGATCAATTTTAAATGAAATGACGTGTTACAGTAATTATTTTAAGACCGATACATAAACGTTACAGGCAATAATGAATATAAAGACAGTAAATTAAAATCCTAATGTATTCCGTCCAGAAACAACAGCATTAACTACAGGAGTGTTTGCCGATGTTCGGAGGCTAATCTGAATCAATAGGTTTGGCAGATAAATCACGGTGTTTCTCATGCTTTTAGGCTTAAAACTGAAGAGCAACCCTTTGCAAATGAGTGAAATCATTATACAAGCGATAGGATTTCCTCCGAATGTTCTCACATTTCCGTTGATTAGACCTAACCTTATGCCATTGCGGCGGTGATGGAAATTTACATATGAAATTCGGGAAAGATCCATTCTGTACTTCTGAAGAAATAGTGAAAACAAACTTTCGTACTCAAAATCAAAGATGGCGGTCTGTAAGCCATTTCGTTTTTCTGAACAGTCCTAAAATCTAAAGGGCACCACAAAAGACCAAAGGTAACTTACATATGAAAATTGGGAAAAATCCATCCTGTACTTCTCCATAAATAACGATAACAAAGTATGACGGTCAAAATCCAAGATGGCCGTCTGTCGGCCATATTATTTTTCAGTCCCATAATCAGACAATACATAACTGAGGAACGAACCCACTTATAAGATTTGAGAAAGAAAGAAGTACTTCTTAAGAAATCGCGAATATAAATTATTCCAGTCAAAATCAAAGATATGTGCCTATCGGCCATTTTGTTTTTCAGGTGCAGATCAATGAAACAATGTACAACTACGGACTGATGGGAACCTAAATATGAAATTTTAAATCATCTTTCCAGTACTTCACAAGAAAGAGTGGCGACAAAAATTGCCGGTTTAAGGACAGACGGATAGACGACAGACGACGGACGACGGACGAAAGGCGATATTAGATATACACTCTCTGGTGATATTGGTCTAAAGAGTTGATTAATTCATTTAGAAAACATTTTAGTCACAATATACGTTAATGCATTAACCTTAGTACATATATACTAATGAACATATATTTTACACAGGGACTCGGAGCAGTATCATTCACTAAATTTTAACATTACCTTGACTATATGTTAAACACGTCCACAGTAAAAACAATATACATCCACACGTATACGTCTCCATCTTGATTTTAAATAAGAATTAAGCAAGACGTCAGAAGACTACATGGAATGACGAACATTTAAAGACGCGCGGTCGTGACCTCAAGACAAAATAGAATTCAAATGTAGGTTTTACGATAAATTCTTAGATTGTACATCGGAGGGAAAGAAAGAAAAATATCATAATGATAAAGCTTCAGATTTAACACACATAATGTTTGTTCGACTAACTGGTCTGATGCTAATGGGTAGGGATGGCGATGAAGCTAGAGTTTGACAATGTCAAAAGGTTTTGAGTTTTACTGACCGTGCGCCCTTAATAGCGGAAAGTGGGGGTGAGATAGTGGGCACTTAATCCTTGTATAAATGACGACATTCCTGATCTTCTATAAACTCGCCCAGTCTATATCGACCCCCAGTGTACCCACCACACGAACACTGTTCGATAAAACATCGAGGAGGAGAAATACAGGCTACTGGGATACATATTATTACTATCACATCCTATAATCTATAACATTCATATCATACTCTATTACAATCATATCATACTCTGTTACAATCATATAATATACTCTATTACAATAATATTTTAACAAAACGGTTTTAAACTGTGATCAGTTCATATCTTTAATTAAGAAATCAATAAAACTGTATTTAAATAGGAGTATAAGATCAATAGGACAAGAAGTTGAATTAGAGAATAATGTTTCTTCCTTCATTTTTTGTTCTCGATTTTATCATTACAAAAAAACTGGTAATAAGTATTTATATATTACTGTAAACCAAATTTTGTCTATATAAGTCTATATTTTCCTCTAAAATCCTAATATTGGAGTTCTGTGACGCGTGTTATTGTAGTCAAGTTGAAACATTATCTGACAATTCATGGAATAACAAACCTGAGTAACAAGGAACGGATTTCGGTTAATGATTCGTCTAATACGGAAGCGTATTCCGGCCACGTTGTGTTTTATTTTAACTCGAAATTTCGAGATAGCAAAAATAACTCTCGAAATTTCGAGATAAAATAAAACACAACGTGGCCGGAATACGCTTCCGTAGTATAATAAATAGTTTCATTCGACAAAAAATGAAGTGGAAAAATAACAAGAAAAAGAGATACATCAAACCCGGCTACATCTTCCAGGCTGTTAACTGTTGGACACTTTGAATTATGTCTGATTACTGTCGGTCACTTTGAATTATGTCTGTTTACTGTTGGTCACTTTGAATTATGTCTGATTACTGTTGGTCACTTTGAATTATGTCTGTTTACTGTTGGTCACTTTGAATTATGTCTGTTTACTGTCGGTCACTTTGAATTATGTCCGTTTACTGTCGGTCACTTTGAATTATGTCTGTTTACTGTTGGTCACTTTGAATTATGTCTGATTACTGTTGGTCACTTTGAATTATGTCTGTTTACTGTCGGTCACTTTGAATTATATCTGTTTACTGTCGGTCACTTTGAATTATGTCTGTTTACTGTCGGTCACTTTGAATTATATCTGTTTACTGTCGGTCACTTTGAATTATGTCTGATTACTGTTGGTCACTTTAAATTATGTCTGTTTACTGTCGGTCACTTTGAATTATATCTGTTTACTGTCGGTCACTTTGAATTATATCTGTTAACTGTTGGTCACTTTGAATTATGTCTGTTAACGGTCGGTCACTTTGAATTATGTCTTTATTTGGCGATTTCCTAACCTTGTCATTAATGTAATTCTCTTTGGTAACATTCGGAATGATTATATAATACATTTTATAAAACTGATTAGTTATGAAACATTTCTTGACGATTCTCTATTCCCCATGGGTGCCCCCCAACAACCCCCCCCCCCCCACACACACACATGCCACCACCCCGACCCCCACACCCCGCCTTATGTATATAAGACAGTTTGACCAGGAGCAAACCAACGTTTTAACACGATTTCGAACTACAGCGTTATTCCCCCATTTTTTTTTTTATTTTTCGTATTGAAAAGAAATTTCTTTGGAAGTGAAAAACCGGTTTAGTTTTTATGAATTAATATGTGATAGAGATAACAAAATAATAGTAAACAATGAATATTAATTTTTCATGCTTTTCAGCATGGTCGTTTTGAAATACTGACTCTTTCAAACGCACTTGCGAACGTGTAACAATAATTGTCAATTATTCGCGTTTAACTAACGATTTCTGAGCTTATATTTCGGTAACCTTGGAGAATCTATTTTAGTCATCCTGTACCCATATTTCTTGTTGTATAGTGACTTCGATCAGTAACGTAAACATAAGGAGTAATATATCGATGTTTAGTCGTGAAACTAGGAATTATCGTACAGCATAGTCTTCCCTCGATATATATTTATCTCATTCATTTATTAGGGCTTTTCACCAACTGGTGAAAAGACCTATTGTCTTTGTTATGTTTCTTATTATTATTCTTCTTCCGTATTTTGTGGGTTCGTAATCTTTTAAACTGTAAAAGCTAAACATACTGTCTATTCACCTATTTGTAGATACGTATATGAAGTTGTCGATGCCGATTTTTGAAGTAGGTCAAAAATCCAATATGGCCGCCATGACGTCATAAGTTAAAAACTTAAAAACGGCACTATCTCGAAAACCATTGATTGTACAGAGTTTGTGCAATAATATTATTTGTAGAGAATTTTCATATCTAAGTTTTTGTCAGCCATATTAATGCAAAATGTGTCAAATAAAAAAGCTCGCTGTGGGGTAAAGTTTTCAAAATTTAACAATTTTTTTTTTTTTTTTCAATTTTGAATTTTCTTGAAATTTTCTTCTTCAGATCGATGCAGAACATCCTTCCGATGAATTTAATGTTTTGTTTTTCGGTAGATTGTCGCCAAAGAAGTGAAAAGCCCGCAAAATTGTTAGCAACAATTTCTAGTTAATTAATTTATTGATAACCAATAACAAACTAAATAATAATTAAAGGATTTCATCAAAGGCAATACATATTTAATGAAAATAATTTACTAATCTAATTCTTTTACTTTATTTATCTGCCATATAATAGACACAAGGATTGCCGTTATATCTATGGTAGAGTTTAAAAAAACAACATTCTCCTTACAACTGATAGTGTTTTATATTCCGTTATCTAGACAGTAATAAGATGATGTAGGTAGACTGTCGCCCCGCTTCAACACATGACTAACCCCACCGATCCAGGAGAGTTAAGTCTGAGAGAAGGGTGTGTCTGCACGTTGTTACGTATCATAGCTCTTCTGGTTTTAACTTGTGTCGGCCAGACGTCGGGACAGTCGGAGTAATATCAGGACTACCTAGGTATTTAAGATCATTTCGTGAAGCTGTGACATTGCGGCGTAGCCACGAATGGCATCCAGCAACATGTATGTACGATGTTCCGCTCATTTGGTAATTATTCCACTTTCTTGACACCACGCTGAGGTACACCACGCTGAGGTACAACAATGTCCGCTACAGCATGAAGATGAGACACACTGTTATTTAACCGTTGTCTAGTTCGTCACACAGTTATTTAACAGTTGTCTAGTTCGTCACACTGTTATTTAACCGTTGTCTAGTTCGTCATACTGTTATTTAACCGTTGTCTACTTCGTCACACTGTTATTTAACCGTTGTCGAGTTCGTCATACTGTTATATAACCGTTGTCTAGTTCGTCACTCTGTTATTTAACAGTTGTCTAGTTCGTCACACTGTTATTAAAGTGTAACAGAGGTCATCTTTCCATCTCAATGCCTCCGCTAGGAATCGAACCCGGGACCCCTGGCTTACTAGTCTGACGCTCAACCCATCGAGCTAAAGAGAAGTTCTCTCTAGCCGAGTGGTATATTGCGGCTAGTATTTTACCAGGGTTACAAAACCGTTGTCTAGTTCGTCACACTGATATTTAACCGTTGTCTAGTTCGTCACTCTGTTATTTAACCGTTGTCTAGTTCGTCACACTGATATTTAACCGTTGTCTAGTTCGTCACACTGTTATTTAACCGTTGTCTAGTTCGTCACACTGTTATTTAACCGTTGTCTAGTTCGTAACACTGTTACCTAACCGTTGTCTAGTTCGTCACACTGTTATTTCACCGTTGTCTAGTTCGTCACACAGTTATCTAACCGTTGTCTAGTTCGTCACACTGTATTTAACCGTTGTCTAGTTCGTCACACTGTTATTTAACCGTTGTCTAGTTCGTCACACTGTTATCTAACCGTTGTCTAGTTCGTCACACTGTATTTAACCGTTGTCTAGTTCGTCACACTGTTATTTAACCGTTGTCTAGTTCGTCACACTGTTATCTAACCGTTGTCTAGTTCGTCACACTGTTATTTTATATATGGACGGTTAGCGGTACTATAGAACATATATACCTATATATATAGACCGTGGGTCGGGAATATAAAAAATATGTTTGAACCGTGGGTCGGGACTATATAACATATATAAGGACCGTGGGTCGGAACTATAAAACATATATATGAACCGTGGGTCGGGACTATAAAACATATATATGAACCGTGGGTCAGGACTATAAAACATATATAAGGACCGTGGGTCGGAACTAAAAAACATATATATGAACCGTGGGTCGGGACTATAAAACATATATAAGGACCGTGGGTCGGGACTATAAAACATATATATGAACCGTGGATCGGGACTATAAAACATGTATAAGGACCGTGGGTCGGGACTATAAAACATATATACATATATATGGACCGTGGGTCGGGACTATAAAACATGTATAAGGACCTTGGGTCGGGACTATAAAACATATATACATATATATGGATCGTGGGTCGGGACTATAAAACATTAATACATATATATATGGACCGTGGGTCGGGACTATAAAACATATATATGGATCGTGGGTCGGGACTATAAAACATATATGAACTGTGGGTAAAAAATTCGTACACTATCCATGTGGAGTGGATGGTCATGTGGAGAAGTGAGTCCGTGATTTTATGGTTGACTGAACACACCAACATACGAAGATTAAACGGAAGGAAAATGAAATTTTCTTACAAGCCTTCTGATTCCTTTTTTCAAAATATTGCTGATTCTTAGCAAAAGGTGAACACTATTGTTATGCGAGTTCCAAAGGGAAGTACAGTACAAATTTCTACATCTCATCTTGTGCGATCAAAACAAGAAGAACATACATTATATGACATTTCTTTTCAAACTTTGGGCATTTAGCAATCACTGACGAGTAATACAAGGACGAAACGGTTGTATGTTGTAGCATCACTGACGAGTAATACAAGGACGAAACGGTTGTATGTTGTAGCATCACTGACGAGTAATACAAGGACGAAACAGCTGTATGTTGTAGCATCACTGACGAGTAATACAAGGACGAAACGGTTGTATGTTGTAGCATCACTGACTAGTAATACAAGGACGAAACAGCTATATGATGTAGCATCACTGACGAGTTCTACAAGGACGAAACGGTTGTATGATCTAGCATCAATGACTAGTAATACAAGGACGAAACAGCTGTATGATGTAGCATCACTGACGAGTAATACAAGGACGAAACGGTTGTATGTTGTAGCATCACTGGCTAGTAATACAAGGACGAAACAGCTATATGATGTAGCGTCACTGACGAGTTCTACAAGGACGAAACGGTTGTATGATCTAGCATCAATGACTAGTAATACAAGGACAAAACGGCTGTATGATGCAACTTAATTCATTATATGACTATGTTTTTTTCTAATACTTATTTGTGTTTTTGTACAAATTTAAATACATTTTATGAAGACAGATAACTTGTAATACCTTTCAAGTCACTGCATGTTCTGAACAAGTAACATCGTATTTTACCATTTGTTATGATTTCTATGGTAACCAGTAATATATTTGTTTCAATAACTGGTTGTTATATTAATAAACAACATACGGAAAGCCTGTCTCATGTCATAAAAAATGTAAATTAGTGTCAACCACTTGAGTACAGAACGATTTATCAGTTTCCCGGGTGAAAATTTGTATAATACTTAGCCCATGTGAGACTTTTTAACTCAGACCAAAATGAAATTTCCTGAATTTATTGTCAAATCAACATTTCAAAAACAACTTTATTTGATCGAAACAGATGGCCATAGTTAAAATAACGTGCTATGACCTTTGACCTGTAAAGTAAGCCTATCATCCATTTTCTGAGGAATCTCGTTTCTATTTGTAGAAAGAATAACTTTTAAACAAGTAAATAAGAGTAACAGTACAGACACCAATGTATATCAATGATATAAGGGTAAGTGACCTTGACCATTGACCTTTAGGCTAGTAACAATCATCTATGTTAAGAAATTTTTAATTTCAGAGATTAAACTAACAATCCAATGTATATAACATAGATTTATGACCACTTGGTTTGCCAAAAGCTTCAGTTGTGATTTTGTTTCCAGTAAAAGAACACAAAACAAGCACTTTCAACAAAAATGCAATTTTTTTTGTATGAAATCTAATGTTTGTTAAGGATTAAGAAAAGTCAACCCTTGTCATCACAAAAAAAACCCACTACTTACTAGGGTCTCTACTAGTATTAAATGGAATCTCAATATTTTCCCTCCTTTCTCAATTAATCATGTGATGTATATGTCCTATTTCTTTGGAATCATCCTTTCAAAGTGACCAATGTCATTAAACCTAACGACAAGAAAATGTATAAAAAGGTGTTTTATATTACACTTTCTTATATCCTTTTGGATAATTCTCACAACAGCTTAACAACCCTAAGAAACTATACAGGGCTAAAGTTGTCCATTATCTCTTTGGTGCTTTTGAAAAAAACAACAGGCTGGTGCCAAAATCTATAATGAGTGCTCTGTTGGCCATGTTTCAATACTTTTTAACTAACCAGTAATTACTAAAAACCCAAAATTTCATACCTATCTATATCTATCATGGTTGTCTGTCAAGCATTGTTATTTGTAATCAGTCTCAAAATTAACATTCACATCTAGTGCAAGATAAATTCATGTATTTTTGAGAAAAAGTCAAATAAAAAACCTTTAAAAGCAGAGGCTGCTACCTGTAGTGTCCAGTGAAGTTAAGATTCTGAGGTCCAGAAAGTTACCTAACACACAGTAAGAATGTCCTTAATATGGATGTAGAGAAAACAAACAATATTATTAGGTCTCTGAAGAACATATAGTTTTATTGACAGATCTGAGAACAATATCAACATCCACAATACATTGATTACACCCCAACATCAACAAAAATCTATCTTAATTAGTATCCAGACCATAAAGCTGATAAACCCAGGGGGTACCTTCTACCATGTACCACTGATAAACACAGGGGTTACCTTCTACCAAGTACCACTGATAAACCCAGGGGTTACCTTCTACCATGTACCACTAATAAACACAGGAGTTACCTTCTACCATGTACCACTGATAAACCCAGGGGTTACCTTCTACCATGAACCACTGATAAAACCCAGGGGGTACCTTCTACCATGTACCACTGATAAACCCAGGGGGTACCTTCTACCATGTACCACTGATAAACCCAGGGGGTACCTTCTACCATGTACCACTGATAAACCCAGGGGGTACCTTCTACCATGTACCACTGATAAACCCAGGGGGTACCTTCTACCATGTACCACTGATAAACCCAGGGGTTACCTTCTACCATGTACCACTGATAAACCCAGGGGTTACCTTCTACCATGTACCACTGATAAACCCAGGGGGTACCTTTCACAATGTCCCACTGATAAACCCAGGGGTTACCTTTCCCATTGTACTACTGATAAACCCAGGGGGTACCTTTCACAATGTACCACTGATAAACCCAGGGGGTACCTTCTACCATGTACCACTGATAAACCCAGGGGGTACCTTCTAACATGTACCACTGATAAACACAGGGGGTACCTTCTACCATGTATCACTGATAAACCCAGGGGTTACCTTCTACCATGTACCACTGATAAACCCAGGGGTTACCTTCTACCATGTACCACTGATAAACCCAGGGGGTACCTTTCACAATGTACCACTGATAAACCCAGGGGTTACCTTCTACCATGTACTACTGATAAACCCAGGGGTTACCTTCTACCATGTACCACTGATAAACCCAGGGGTTACCTTTCACAATGTCCCACTGATAAACACAGGGGTTACCTTTCACATAAACCAAGGGGTTACCTTTCACATTGTACCACTGACAAACTCAGGGGGTACCTTCTACCATGTACCACTGATAAACCCAGGGGTTACCTTCTACCATGTACCACTGATAAACCCAGGGGTTACCTTCTACCATGTACCACTGATAAACCCAGGGGGTACCTTCTACCATGTACCACTGATAAACCCAGGGGGTACCTTTCACAATGTCCCACTGACAAACCCAGGGGTTACCTTTCACATAAACCAAGGGGTTACCTTTCACATTGTACCACTGACAAACCCAGGGGTTACCTTTCACATTGTACCAATGACAAACCCAGGGGTTACCTTTCACATCGTACCACTGATAAACCCAGGGGGTACATTTTACCATGTACCACTGATAAACCCTGTAGTTTCTTCCAGGGAAACTTGATGAAACGGGAAGAAATTTGCCCATTGTCATATTTTCTATAGAGATGCAAAAGGTGGGTGGGTGGGTGGGTTGGATGGGGGAAGGGTAGAAGGATGGGGGAGTAGAGGTGTTAGAGGGAAGCTTAATACCAGACCTAGGCTTACCAACAATAACAAGGGGTATTCTTTGGTGGGGGTAGAGGTGTTAGAGGGAAGCTTAATACCACACCTGGGCTTACTAACAATAACAAGGGGTATTCTTTGGTGGGGGTAAGGGTGTTAGAGGGAAGCTTGCCAACAATAAGAAGGGGTATTCTTTGGTGGGGGTAAGGGTGTTAGAGGGAAGCTTAATACCAGACCTGGGCTTACTTATAATAAGAAGGGGTATTCTTTGGTGGGGGTAGAGGTGTTAGAGGGAAGCTTAATACCACACCTGGGCTTACCAACAATAAGATGGGGTAATCATTATTACATGTAATAAACAATAAACACTAAAACAAAAATATCCATTGACACAACATGTTATTGCTAGCTTAAATTGTAAACATAAATTATCAACCTTTCCACAATAACATATTGATGAAATGAAACAGATACATATATTTACTCTTCAGAATTTCCTGGAAAATCATACATGAGATGAATGTGATGTAAAATCATGGCAATAGTGTACAAATAATAATTATGTTTGCAAATATCAGAAAAATTTAATGATCTTCATGGCATGAAGATATATAGCATTATATTGACAAACAGTAGCCATATACATACTGCAAACAATTAAAATTAAACAAGATTTATAATCTTGTCAAAGCATGCATTTTGAGCCCTTGACTTCATAAATTCTGGTATGAAGATTTATTATAGGGTTATGTCATAACACCATCACATGGGGAAAAAGAGTACTGGAGTTAAGTCCCTTTATTAAAACTTGTTTACTAGAGTTATGTCCCTTTTATTTAAACTAGATTACTACAGTTAGTACCTTTGTCCAAATGATCTAATCTGCTGAAATGTTTGTAGGGCTTAGAAGTAAAGCAAAATTAAATTGCTAAGATCAAGCAAACTTGTTTGGCAGAAAATGAACTAGTTCAAAGTTGAAATATCATAAAAACATATATACATACAACAGCTTATAGATACCAAGACATAAAATGTCCAAGCCAGTTTCATTATTGAGTAAAGTTATTTCTCATATATTCAAATAATATACTTTTTAAATCTGTAATAAAAATTCTTAAAATATCAATCAGAAATCCTCTAGATGCCAGCTAGAACCTTAGTGATATATTACTTGTGTTTAAGATTCTCACAATGTATGTGTTTCAATAATACCACCACTCACGGCATGTTATTTCACAGCATATGAAAATGTTTCTAGTCTAAAACAGTTTTCTAGTTTAAACTAACATGAGCAGATTGGTCACATGTTTTCAACATTTTTTTCCCTTTCCGAGGAGTCCTCATGTGTGAAAGTCAAAGTAAATTTCTGAACTTTATATTTATCCTGTAGTAAGCCACATCACATGATCTGGGATTATTACTTAACTCCATATTTATCCTGTAGTAAGCCACATCACATGATCTGGGATTATTACTTAACTCCATATTTATCCTGTAGTAAGTTACATCACATGATCTGGGATTATTACTTAACTCCATATTTATCCTGTAGTGTGTCACATCACATGATCTGGGATTATTACTTAACTCCATATTTATCCTGTAGTGTGTCACATCACATGATCTGGGATTATTACTTAACTCCATATTTATCCTGTAGTGTGTCACATCACATGATCTGGGATTATTACTTAACTCCATATTTATCCTGTAGTGTGTCACATCACATGATCTGGGATCACTACAGGACAAGGATAAAACATTTCTTAGAATTTCAATATTGAACAACCATAAAGACAAAGGTTGGCTTATAACCAAGCATGGGCTTGATACTGAATATACATGGGATACTGACCACAGTATTCCATACAAAAGCCTTTCTCCTACAACAGGAAACAAGATCTCTGTTGAGGTGAAAGGATCACGATGTTTGCTGTTACTACTATTAATTCATTAAACATGATTTGAATTGATGCGTTTTCCAAATATAAATAAAAAAAAAGAATAAGTCTGTTATTTTGATTAAAATATAACCTCTCTCATACTTCCCTCACTCATTCTTTGATTCACAGTCACAATCTGTATATAGATGAATCCAATTTAGGTGGTGTGTCGGGGTTTGATTTACAGAAAAAGAAAATTAACACGTATGGTCAGTTAAGTATACTTTGTACATATCTTAAGTGGTTCAGCTAACCTTAAATCTACAAACCTATAATTAAATATTACATATAAAAAACTCTGTGTTAAAACACAGAAAATAAATAAAGATCGTAACAAAACATTAAAAAGTCTGATTAAGGCAGATGTCAAAATGGCAAAAATACATAATTCTAGCCAACAATACAAGCTACATACATTTACCAAAAATAAACTCAAATGATTATTTATCAATAACTTTCTGAAGACAGAATAACTGTCATTGTTGATAAGTTTAAAGTTTATTGCACTTAAAAAAGTGAATCTTGTGACAGAATTCTATAAAGAAAAGATTGTACATCATTATCAGCAATACTGGTAAGTACTGAAACGAAAGATTGATTGACTTTCAAAATTCCTCTATATGTATTATGTTAGAAAGGCCATCATTTATTCCAATTCCACCTTAGTGGACCTCTGACTACCTAGGGATCACACCCAGGACATCTGACTACCTAGGGATCACACCCAGGACCTCTGACTACCTAGGGATCACACCCAGGACCTCTGACTACCTAGGGATCACACCCAGGACATCTGACTACCTAGAGTCACATCCAGGACCTCTGACTACCTAGGGATCACACCCAGGACCTCTGACTACCTAGGGATCACACCCAGGACCTCTGACTACCTAGGGTCACACCCAGGACCTCTGACTACCTAGGGATCACACCCAGGACCTCTGACTATCTAGGGTCACATCCAGGACCTCTGACTACCTAGGGATCACACCCAGGACATCTGACTACCTAGGGTCACATCCAGGACCTCTGACTACCTAGGGATCACACCCAGGACATCTGACTACCTAGGGATCACACCCAGGACCTCTGACTACCTAGGGATCACATCCAGGACCTCTGGTTTACTAGGGATCACACCCTGGACCTCTGACATAGTGTAGTAGACTTATACTTTACTGATCAAGCTAAAGAGAAATTTTCCCCAAGCTATACTGGTAGAAAGTAATTTACCAAGATAACAGGTAAACAACAGCATCACTTCCTCATTACACCTGTCGTTCTTATCTTCAAAACTGAAACACATTATTAATCAGAAATGTTTATCATTTGATCATAAGGATGGGAGGACTTAGACTGAGTATCAATACAAAACAGTATTGTATGTAAATCAAAACTTTTATAAACACAAACTTACACTTGAACTGAGAATTTTGACTGATTCATAATCTAACTGTTTTATAGCCACATTACAACTTAAGTTTTGGTAGCTACACTTGTTCTGATGGCCAAGCTCAATCAAAATACCGCAATCTACTATAAAACAAGCATTTTCATTGGGTAATTGTTTTATGTTATCACCCAATCACAAAAAAATTGATGTAATTTTGTAATATTATGTTTGATTGGCTGATGTATTGATGTAAGAAATTATTATTTATGTTTTTATACAGTGTACACTCTATTTTTGGTGTTAGGTCTCAATACTATAAACAATGATTAACGATAATCACTAATTACATCAGAGAAAACAATGTCAGGGTTTTTATTCATGACCTTGACGTGTCGATTCTCCATTAAATAAATTGATTAATCAATAAACTGACTTACCTTCATGCTCGGAAATATTTTACCATTATGTTTTACTATAAGATTTGAACATACAAATTGTATGTAATGATTTTCACTTCATCTTTTTTTCCCAAAGTATTTACAGTCTGTAAAATCTATGCGTAAATAATGATTAAATCATGATTTCTTGCAAGGATTTCAAGGCTAAATTTCAATAAACTGATTTCTGTTATGTTAATTGGAGAGGAGAGTGCAAATCCATAGATCAACATTCATTGTCAATTTAAGTTTAATTAATGTAAAATATTTAAAATATGGTGGCCCCATTAAATAGCCTTAAAAATCTTAATCCTGTGATATTGAAATTCAATAAAACAACAAGCTAAATTAAAACTATCCGCAGATGAAACACTGATATTAGGAAGAAAACTTCAGTGCCTTTGACATCATTGACTAATTATCAGGTAATCCATAGATTTCACCGACAAGATCTTCATTCCCTCGGTTCAAAGGTCACAGAACACTATATATCATATATAATACTGTTGAGATATTTTTTCATGGTTCAAAGTTTTGTAATTTAACCATCTGTTTGAGAGAAATAATGTTATTTCATGAAATTATACAACCGGCAAAATGTTTGTTTTTTAAATTGGGAATAACTTTATTCTATCATTATAAACAGGGAAAAATAGAAACTATGCAGTGTATTTAAAGTGAACTTGATTTGCTGACAAGGAGAAAAAGCTTTACCAGCATGAGCTGAAGTTTAACAGCTGTGATGATATACTAATATCAAAACCAGCAACACCTCATCAAATTTATGTATGCAATGGTGAATATAAAGTTGAAAATGTTTCATACACATGACTTAAGTAACAATTTTACCACAAAATGATTGCAGTATCATACCTTGATTCACATTCAGAAAAAAAAAATACATCACATAAACTTTTGCACTGAAAAAAATTTCTGAGTCATATAAATGTTTTGCAATAATAAACAATTTCAAGCTCCTTGAGTTCAATTCATCACACATGGTCGACCAAGCGCGAGGGGTCAACTCTAGGTATGTCTACACTTATCTGAGTGCTCATTCTAGAAAACAATTCCCGATAATGAACAAGCAAAAGTTCCACACACTTCTGTTCAAACTGGGCGGCCATAAGACTTATCATTGGGTTAGTGTCGGGACTACGCATCAGGGTTGGAGCAAACACAATAGCCAAGTTGTCAGCTCCCATCATATTTTTGGATTTCTTCTCCGTTACTCTGAAACCAGACCAACAACTAATAAAAACAAGTCATAGAGTGAAAGCATCTTCATTTTATCTACAGAAAATTTGTGGTTAATCTTCCGCACAGAAAAATCTACCATTGATATCCCTCATGGCTGGTAACCCTGCTTATCCACAACATCAACGATTTGTAAAGTCTTAAAGACTGACAAACATAAATATCTATACATTGATACTCTCCTTTTTTATTTCATATTGACATAAACAATTACAATTGTTTTTACTTCTGAACAAGGAAATTGGGCATTGGGGCGGGGAGAAAGGGAAAAGAAAACCTTACAATAAAAGGTCAAGGTTAAAAAAAACCAGCCAGGCCAAGTGGACTTACCTGATGTAAGAGGTCAAAAGGTCACTCACATGGCTAAGAGGTATTGGAATTATCTCGTGAAATGAGCTAATGACTCCCTGAATGACATCAGCTCAAAGGTATTTGACTCACTAAATGAGCTAAAAGGTATTTGACTCACCAGATGAGCTAAGACATATTTCACATGCCTGATAATTTGAGCTGAGAAGTATTCAAGTAAGCCAAGATATTTGCCTTACCTGATGAGATGAGCTAAGAGGTATTAGACTCATCTGATGAGATGAGCTAAGAGGTATTGGACTCACCTAATGAGATGAGCTAAGAGGTATTTGACTCACCTGATGAGATGAGCTAAGAGGTATTTGACTCACCTAATGAGATGAGCTAAGAGGTATTTGATTCACCTGATGAGATGAGCTAAGAGGTATTTGACTCACCTAATGAGATGAGCTAAGAGGTATTTGACTCACCTTATGAGCTAAGAGGTATTTGACTCACCTGATGAGCTAAGAGGTATTTGACTCACCTGATGAGATGAGCTAAGAGGTATTTAAGTGTCTGGTAGTGTGCTGGTGGTAATATGGCCAATCCTTCCTTCAATTTGACGATTAATTCCCGTGACCGATCTTCTCGCTCTAGATCACAAACATTATATAGAAATTATATGCTGTAAATATTCATAGTATATTAGTTCTACATGCACAATTAAAAATTCAAATGAAATTAGAGGAATCTTTTGTTGTAGTTGAAATCAAGTTAGAATTGGCTTAGGACACCAACATTGGGAAGGAATTTGAATATAATCATTTACCATCATGCCATGGCATTTATGAATGAGTTTTGCCAGAATATGTATAATATTTTACAAATATGCAATATCAAATTTACTTTCAAAGCTCTGTCATTTATAAGGATCATAAATGCCATAACAATATTTAAATGAACGACTTACTTATGACATCAATGATGAACTTGTAGGCTTCGAATGTAAGTAAGGGTATAGGAAGTAATCGGAAATACAACTTCAGCACACTTGTGATACTGTTGATGTCTTCATACTTGTTAGCACTGATATCTGTGTTCTCTCCATCTACAAAATACCACATACAAAATACCACAAATCTTATATCTGTGTTCTCTCCATCTACAAAATACCACAAATCTTATATCTGTGTTCTCTCCATCTACAAAATACCACAAATCTTATATCTAAGTTCTCTCCATCTACAAAATACCACATTACAAATCTTATATCTAAGTTCTCTCCATCTACAAAATACCACAAATCTTATATCTGTGTTCTCTCCATCTACAAAATACCACAAATCTTATATCTGTGTTCTCTCCATCTACAAAATACCACCAATCTTATATCTGTGTTCTCTCCATCTACAAAATACCACCAATCTTAACTCCTTTAATTGCAGAAATTAATCACCAGCTTCAATTCAAGATGAAGCCTTTTCCATCATCAAGATTTTTCTTGAGCATGCAATTACACTAACATTGATGATGTACACAAGATAAAACTGTCCAATATTGAAGTCTCTATCTTATTCTTTTATATTTTAATAAAGCAATGGTGTCCAAGCTCATGCTGATATTGATTTGAAAATGTCTCACATATTGAGTATGCATGCAATGTATAATTAGTCAATGTCTGAATCAGTTTACTCATTTTTAAGTCAGTTCTAATCCTCTTTATTATGTTCTCGTGGAGATCACGAAGGGGATATAGCATTACGTTTGTACGTAAGTAAGTTCACTTTTTTGTCATCACTGCAGCAATATCATTTCTCCACGGGTTTTAATCAAACTTCATATATTAGTCAAGTATCCTAATACCTTGAACATGATCATGTTTTCATTATAAATGAGGAGATTTACATTGTTTCTGATGCCTTGTTAATTCTGACTTTCCATACAATGTATAAAACAACTTCTAGGTTTGGGTGAGAGAATCCAACGTTAATTTTTTAATGAAATATTACATAATAATAGCTACAAACAATACATAATTAATATGTAATGTTTACAATTCTTATGTAATTTTACAACCTTGTTTACAGATGTTTGGTAGCTAATTATAGTCATAGTTCTCCCCATCATGTTATCACCAACATCCGACAACTTATCCTCTTTGAGTACTGCACTTTTTATAAAAGAACTATGTATATAGAGAATAATATATGGTAAGTCTTAAAATGTAGGCTGTATTTTGGCGAGGGTGAAAAAAGACAAAAGTGGCAAGTCTCTAGAAGTTTATATTTCAAGACATCGATTGAAAATCAGACCACCAAAGCTTCATAAATAAAGTTGTTCATTACAACATAGAATATCACTTATTTCAATAGTTATCGACCCTAACCCTAAACTTTATATGTAAGTAAATTAAGAAAGTCAATCTGTCAAATTAATGCACATGCTAAAATACAGCTGTTTTCCATTACTACCAATGGTGAAGCCAGTTACAGGATAAAATAGTTTTCTTTGAGTCCCTCTAACAAACTGGGATTGCCTAAACATATTACATGATGAAAATTGAGAAAGATGAACTGTTGGCATGTTTTTGTTCAATACTTAAATATTGCTACATTGGATGAAAACTTTCACAAGGTACTTACCTTTATCAAATGCCATCCTGATACCCTCCACCTCATCATGTAAACCTGCAATCCTGTAGAGGCCTTCTGATTCCAGACCTAGGGAAGGACAGCACAAAACGGAGATAATTTACAACTGCCAACCGTCAATAAATTAAAACCTGTTGGTTAACTAATTCCAGTCCCTCATCCAGTGCTGCTCCTTTCAGTCAATCACTTGTAACAAATGCCATAGGTCAGTGTCACAAAACTTTTGTGAAGGTAAAGAGTTACTTCCCTTCCCACACTCCCCCATCCACTGCTGCCACTTTCACTCAATCACTTGTAACAAATGCCATAGGTCAGTGTAACAAAACTTTTGTGAAGGTAAAGAGTTACTTCCCTTTCCACACTCCCCCATCCACTGCTGCCCCTTTCACTCAATCACTTGTAAAAAATGCCATAGGTCAGTGTCACAAAACTTTTGTGAAGGTAAAGAGTTACTTCCCTTCCAACATAAAGTATTATATTCCAAACTTTGACGTAATTCCTAACTTTACCCCTTACTTAAACATATTATATCACTAACTTACAAGTTCTATCTAGTACTGGCAGCTTGGCAGGACATTGACTCGTGTACATTAATTGTATATATTGGATATTGTCAAGCTAATACATTCGCTTGGTTCAAATTAGGTCAGCCATCAATGATCTTATGTGTTACAACTGTCAACAGACCTTTACTTATCACATGTGTCACATTCTCATACTTACCTTAGTGTTCTAAAAGGTTAACAACACTACTAAAAAGCGTGTATATAAGAGATTAAGATATCTAGACTTACTGAAATAAGGATCTACAACTGTCTCTACACTAGTCGATAAACTGCTGTGTCTGAAGTTACCTTATCACACGGTACAACACAATATCACCTGATTTCATTTGATCCACAAACAGACACAATCGTGACTGTTTACCCAAGCTACCAGGACATAAAAACCATTGAGGACTTAATACTGAACAAGTTATTGGCACAAACAATACCTCTGGACTCAATTTCCTTTATACATTTCTCTACGACGACAGGGATAGGTGTGTTCCTGGCTTTCACCACTGTTGTGAGATCAGCTCCATACAAGTTCTTCACAAATTTAATATCCGGCATGCAGTCATTCGGTACCTTCTCAGAACATTTTTTATGAGCTTCAAATCCACAATCTATCAAATAAATTGAGAATACAGTCAACTACACATTTGGTGTGGATCATATCAGACTATGAGATTTTGATTCTCAAGCACTTGATTTTAATTTTACATAAGTTCTTTGGCCTTTAACTTCTCTTTACTTTATAATCAGAAATTCTATTATCTTGACACTTGACCCCAGACATTCGACTCACATTGACATTTGACCCCAGATATTAAACACATTTTGACATTTAACCCCCAGATATTAAACACATTTTGACATTTAACCCCAGATATTAAACACATTTTGACATTTAACCCCAGATATTAAACACATTTTGACATTTAACCCCAGATATTAAACACATTTTGATAAGTTGCCTTGATAACTGACCCCAGATATTAGATTCATTTTGACCTTTGACCCCAGATTTTGCTCTCACCTTGACATTTGACCCCCTGTGCTATAAGACCCCACATAAAGTTAGCACAATAATCACACCAATGTAGTCCCATGAAGTTCTGGGTCTGAAAATTAAAAAAGTCACATTTCAGCTAGTAAATAACTGTAGGACATCAATGTCTCTGTTCCCATGTGTAAAAGTATCACTGTTTGATGAATTTGTATAAACTATCAAATGTGACCTCTTACCTCATAACCTTGATCAATGACTTCTAAGTAAAGAAATATAAACCAACTCTATTGAGAGGTTACCAGGATATTGATTCTGAATGAGACAGAACAGGACAGGATGGAGCATAAGAACTGGTATCATATGCAGTTCCACATCGTACTTCATCATCATAAAGTTGGCGGTGACCGTTGAAAAGCTTATTTGAATATCTGATTTAAGTGAGATCAATTGTTTGGTGAAAAGTTTGGCCAGCACTACGGAAATGTTTCAAATTAAATGGGTCTTGGAGTTATATAAGTTGAAGATAACGAGGCTCGACTGTATATTGTTATCAGAATATGATACTGAATAAGACAGGACAGGCTGCAAAAAGTCATGTATAATGGCATCCAAAGTACTGTATCTTAACATGAGTAAGAAAGTGTGTGTGATTTATACAGGTACTGTGTTTTATCGTTTGCTGAGTAACATAAATAAGGGTCATAGCAACCATTTAATAAGGAACTTACCTTAAAATTATGAGCCTTTGCAAATTCATGGACGTTGGCCAATATATCGTCTTCGTCATCATCTAATATTTGCTGTAAAATCAAAAAACATTCAACAGGTAATCACTTTTGATTGACTTTTGAAAATTTCAGTTTTTTCTTTTCAGAAATTAATAATGGACGCACACAGGTTTTAAACAGCCACTACAGTACAAGTTTTGGAGAGGAACCTATCACACAGAAGTACCAAGGTGTTTTCACAAAGTAACAAAAGTTTTGGACAGCTCAAGAGGAACCTATCACACAGAAGGACCAAGATGTTTAATAAAGTAACAAAAGTTATAGAATAACACACTGCCACAGATCATAGAATAACACACTGCCACTGATCATAGAATAACACACTGCCACTGATCATAGAATAACACACTGCCACTGATCATAGAATAACACACTGTCACTGATCATAGAGTAACACACTGCCACTGATCATAGAATAACACACTGCCACTGATCATAGAGTAACACACTGCCACTGATCATAGAATAACACACTGCCACTGATCATAAAATAACACACTGCCACTGATCATAGAATAACACACTGCCACTGATTATAGAGTAACACACTGCCACTGATCATAGAATAACACACTGCCACTGATTATAGAATAACACACTGCCACTGTCATCAAATAACACACTGTCACTGATCATAGAGTAACACACTGCCACTGATCATAGAATAACACACTGCCACTGATTATAGAATTACACACTGCCACTGATTATAGAATTACACACTGCCACTGATCATAGAATAACACACTGCCACTGATCATAGAATAACACACTGCCACTGATCATAGAATAACACACTGCCACTGATCATAGAATAACACACTGCCACTGATTATAGAATAACACACTGCCACTGATCAAAGACTAACACACTGCCACTGATTATAGAATAACACAGTTAATCAAAACAGTCCTAGCATAATTATGGTGGCACAATGTGACGTATCCATAACGTCTCAATGTTTACTTAACAACTGTAACATCTTAAGCCACAAACTTGCACTTCATGGGATATGAAAGTGGTAAAAGTCAGCGTAATGATGGCCTCCTAGCGGTCGAAACATGTTGACGACATCTAGACCACAATATAGAAGATAACTGTTCATGGATGATGAGAAGGTTTCATTTCCATGTTTAATGTTCAACACATAATAATTCAAATCTATTAGTTGTCATTCAATCTGAGAGAAATCTTAATTATAAATTAACAGACAAAATTGATGAGTATCAATGTCACTACCAGTGAACACTACTGACGATGAATACTCACCCCTTGTGCCTGAACAGTAGTTCCGTTAGAACCATTACTGAGCCGATTCGGTGTGTCAATATTCACATTTCCCGAATCTGTATGGTCTATTTTTCTGGTTGCCACTGATTTTTGTGAACGCTGTAGTCGTTTCTTTTTTGCACTATATGCTAAATACGGTGACTCTGCATAGTTGGATTCGTTTGAAAGTGAAGCAATATAATCCGCAGCTTTTGCCTCTACATAGAAGTGTATCAGACCGTCAGCTACTAAGTCGTGTACAGTATCAAATCTTTTTTCACCAACGTAATGCATTCCATCATAGTAAAGCTTGAAGTTCTTCGTCTGACCTTCAAATCTGGAGCAGAAAACAAATTTGTTTGATGTGCAGTGCTGCTGCTGATGATGACGATGATGAAAAAGGAGTTATTTCCCTTAGACAAAATTCACCAAGAATGGATAATCTATGGATTGATATTTCTACTGAATTAAGGACATAACTTTGCTCACTTTACAAAGATACGAATTATTGGCAGACCTAAGAAACCACAACTTATATGTAATAAGTGAATCAATAGGGATCTGTCACTTTTACTTGACAGTGAGTGTGAATGTGTCTGAGATCTGTCACTTTTATCTGACAGTGTGAATGTGTGTGAGATCTGTCACTTTTATCTGACAGCGAGTGTGAATGTGTCTGAGATCTGTCACTTTTACCTGACAGTGTGAATGTGTCTGAGATCTGTCACTTTTACCTGACAGTGTGAATGTGTCTGAGATCTGTCACTTTTATCTGACAGTGTGAATGTGTCTGAGATCTGTCACTTTTATCTGACAGTGTGAATGTGTCTGAGATCTGTCACTTTTATCTGACAGTGTGAATGTGTCTGAGATCTGTCACTTTTATCTGACAGTAAGTGTGAATGTGTCTGAGATCTGTTACTTTTACCTGACAGTGAGTGTGAATGTGTCTGAGATCTGTCACTTTTACCTGACAGTGTGAATGTGTCTGAGATCTGTCACTTTTATCTGACAGTGAGTGTGAATGTGTCTGAGATCTGTCATTTTTATCTGACAGTGTGAATGTGTCTAAGATCTGTCACTTTTACCTGACAGTGTGAATGTGTCTGAGATCTGTCACTTTTATCTGACAGCGAGTGTGAATGTGTCTGAGATCTGTCACTTTTATCTGACAGTGTAAATGTGTCTGAGATCTGTCTCTTTTACCTGACAGTGAGTGTGAATGTGTGTGAGATCCGTCACTTTTATCTGACAGTGTGAATGTGTCTGAGATCTAACACATTTATCTGACAGTGTGAAGGTGTCTGAGATCTGTCACTTTTACCTGACAGTGAGTGTGAATGTGTCTGAGATCTGTCACTTTTATCTGACAGCGAGTGTGAATGTGTCTGAGATCTGTCACATTTACCTGACAGTGAGTGTGAATGTGTCTGAGATCTGTCACTTTTACCTGACAGTGTGAATGTGTCTGAGATCTGTCACTTTTATCTGACAGTGAGTGTGAATGTGTCTGAGATCTGTCACTTTTATCTGACAGTGTGAATGTGTCTGAGATCTGTCACTTTTATCTGACAGCGAGTGTGAATGTGTGTGAGATCTGTCACTTTTACCTGACAGTGTGAATGTGTCTGAGATCTGTCACTTTTACCTGACAGTGAGTGTGAATGTGTCTGAGATCTGTCACTTTTACCTGACGGTGTGAATGTGTCTGAGATCTGTCACTTTTATCTGACAGCGAGTGTGAATGTGTCTGAGATCTGTCACTTTTATCTGACAGTGAGTGTGAATGTGTCTGAGATCTGTTACTTTTACCTGACAGTGAGTGTGAATGTGTCTGAGATCTGTCACTTTTACCTGACAGTGTGAATGTGTCTGAGATCTGTCACTTTTATCTGACAGTGAGTGTGAATGTGTCTGAGATCTGTCACTTTTATCTGACAGTGTGAATGTGTCTAAGATCTGTCACTTTTACCTGACAGTGTGAATGTGTCTGAGATCTGTCACTTTTATCTGACAGCGAGTGTGAATGTGTCTGAGATCTGTCACTTTTATCTGACAGTGTAAATGTGTCTGAGATCTGTCTCTTTTACCTGACAGTGAGTGTGAATGTGTGTGAGATCCGTCACTTTTATCTGACAGTGTGAATGTGTCTGAGATCTAACACTTTTATCTGACAGTGTGAAGGTGTCTGAGATCTGTCACTTTTATCTGACAGTGTGAATGTGTCTGAGATCTGTCACTTTTATCTGACAGCGAGTGTGAATGTGTCTAAGATCTGTCACATTTACCTGACAGTGAGTGTGAATGTGTCTGAGATCTGTCACTTTTACCTGACAGTGTGAATGTGTCTGAGATCTGTCACTTTTATCTGACAGTGAGTGTGAATGTGTCTGAGATCTGTCATTTTTATCTGACAGTGTGAATGTGTCTAAGATCTGTCACTTTTACCTGACAGTGTGAATGTGTCTGAGATCTGTCACTTTTATCTGACAGCGAGTGTGAATGTGTCTGAGATCTGTCACTTTTATCTGACAGTGTAAATGTGTCTGAGATCTGTCACTTTTACCTGACAGTGAGTGTGAATGTGTGTGAGATCCGTCACTTTTATCTAGCAGTGTGAATGTGTCTGAGATCTGTCACTTTTATCTGACAGCGAGTGTGAATGTGTCTCAGATCTGTCACATTTACCTGACAGTGAGTGTGAATGTGTCTGAGATCTGTCACTTTTACCTGACAGCGAGTGTGAATGTGTGTGAGATCTGTCACTTTTACCTGACAGTGTGAATGTGTCTGAGATCTGTCACTTTTACCTGACAGTGTGAATGTGTCTGAGATCTGTCACTTTTACCTGACAGTGAGTGTGAATGTGTCTGAGATCTGTCACTTTTACCTGACAGTGAGTGTGAATGTGTCTGAGATCTGTCACTTTTACCTGAGAGTGAGTGTGAATGTGTCTGAGATCTGTCACTTTTACCTGACAGTGAGTGTGAATGTGTGTTATCTGACTGTGTGAATGTGTCTGAGATCTGTCACTTTTATCTGACAGTGTGAATGTGTCTGAGATCTGTCACTTTTATCTGAGAGTGTGAAAGTGTCTGAGATCTGTCACTTTTATCTGACAGTGTGAATGTGTCTAAGATCTGTCACTTTTACCTGACAGTGTGAATGTGTCTGAGATCTGTCACTTTTATCTGACAGTGAGTGTGAATGTATCTGAGATCTGTCACTTTTACCTGACAGTGTGAATGTGTCTGAGATCTGTCACTTTTACCTGACAGTATGAATGTGTCTGAGATCTGTCACTTTTATCTGACAGTATGAATGTGTCTGAGATCTGTCACTTTTATCTGACAGTGAGTGTGAATGTGTCTGAGATCTGTTACTTTTACCTGACAGTGAGTGTGAATGTGTCTGAGATCTGTCATTTTTACCTGACAGTGTGAATGTGTCTGAGATCTGTCACTTTTACCTGACAGCGAGTGTGAATGTGTCTGAGATCTGGCACTTTTACCTGAGAGTGAGTGTGAATGTGTCTGAGATCTGTCACTTTTACCTGACAGTGTGAATGTGTCTGAGATCTGTCACTTTTATCTGACAGTGAGTATGAATGTGTCTGAGATCTGTCACTTTTACCTGACAGTATGAATGTGTCTGAGATCTGTCACTTTTACCTGACAGCGAGTGTGAATGTGTCTGAGATCTGGCACTTCTACCTGAGAGTGAGTGTGAATGTGTCTGAGATCTGTCACTTTTACCTGACAGCGAGTGTGAATGTGTCTGAGATCTGGCACTTTTACCTGAGAGTGAGTGTGAATGTGTCTGAGATCTGTCACTTTTATCTGACAGTGTGAATGTGTCTGAGATCTGTCACTTTTACCTGACAGTGTGAATGTGTCTGAGATCTGTCACTTTTACCTGACATTGCGTGTGAATGTGTCTGAGATCTGTCACTTTTATCTGACAGCGAGTGTGAATGTGTCTGAGATCTGTCACATTTACCTGACAGTGAGTGTGAATGTGTCTGAGATCTGTCACTTTTACCTGACAGTGAGTGTGAATGTATCTGAGATCTGTCACTTTTACCTGACAGTGTGAATGTGTCTGAGATCTGTCACTTTTACCTGACTGTGTGAATGTGTCTAAGATCTGTCACTTTTACCTGACAGTGTGAATGTGTCTAAGATCTGTCACTTTTATCTGACAGTGAGTGTGAATGTGTGTTATCTGACTGTGTGAATGTGTCTGAGATCTGTCACTTTTACCTGACAGCGAGTGTGAATGTGTGTGAGATCTGTCACTTTTACCTGACAGTGTGAATGTGTCTGAGATCTGTCACTTTTACCTGACAGTGAGTGTGAATGTATCTGAGATCTGTCACTTTTACCTGACAGTGTGAATGTGTCTGAGATCTGTCACTTTTACCTGACAGTATGAATGTGTCTGAGATCTGTCACTTTTATCTGACAGTATGAATGTGTCTGAGATCTGTCACTTTTATCTGACAGTGAGTGTGAATGTGTCTGAGATCTGTTACTTTTACCTGACAGTGAGTGTGAATGTGTCTGAGATCTGTCATTTTTACCTGACAGTGTGAATGTGTCTGAGATCTGTCACTTTTACCTGACAGCGAGTGTGAATGTGTCTGAGATCTGGCACTTTTACCTGAGAGTGAGTGTGAATGTGTCTGAGATCTGTCACTTTTACCTGACAGCGAGTGTGAATGTGTCTGAGATCTGGCACTTTTACCTGAGAGTGAGTGTGAATGTGTGTGAGATCTGTCACTTTTACCTGACAGTGTGAATGTGTCTGAGATCTGTCACTTTTATCTGACAGTGAGTGTGAATGTGTCTGAGATCTGTTACTTTTACCTGACAGTGAGTGTGAATGTGTCTGAGATCTGTCACTTTTACCTGACAGTGTGAATGTGTCTGAGATCTGTCACTTTTACCTGACAGCGAGTGTGAATGTGTCTGAGATCTGGCACTTCTACCTGAGAGTGAGTGTGAATGTGTCTGAGATCTGTCACTTTTACCTGACAGCGAGTGTGAATGTGTCTGAGATCTGTCACTTTTACCTGAGAGTGAGTGTGAATGTGTCTGAGATCTGTCACTTTTACCTGACAGTGTGAATGTGTGTGAGATCTGTCACTTTTACCTGACAGTGTGAATGTGTCTGAGATCTGTCACTTTTACCTGACATTGCGTGTGAATGTGTCTGAGATCTGTCACTTTTACCTGACAGTGTGAATGTGTCTGAGATCTGTCACTTTTACCTGACAGTGAGTGTGAATGTGTCTAAGATCTGTCACTTTTACCTGACAGTGAGTGTGAATGTGTCTGAGATCTGTCACTTTTACCTGACAGTGTGAATGTGTCTGAGATCTAACACTTTTACCTGACAGTGACTGTGAATGTGTCTGAGATCTGTCACTTTTACCTGACAGTGAGTGTGAATGTGTCTGAGATCTGTCACTTTTACCTGACAGTGAGTGTGAATGTGTCTGAGATCTGTCACTTTTACCTGACAGTGAGTGTGAATGTGTCTGAGATCTGTCACTTTTACCTGACAGTGTGAATGTGTCTGAGATCTGTCACTTTTACCTGACAGTGAGTGTGAATGTGTCTGAGATCTGTCACTTTTACCTGACAGTGAGTGTGAATGTGTCTGAGATCTGTCACTTTTACCTGACAGTGAGAGTGAATGTGTCTGAGATCTGTCACTTTTACCTGACAGTGAGTGTGAATGTGTCTGAGATCTGTCACTTTTATCTGACAGTGTGAATGTGTCTGAGATCTGTCACTTTTACCTGACAGTGAGTGTGAATGTGTCTGAGATCTGTCACTTTTACCTGACAGTGTGAATGTGTCTGAGATCTGTCACTTTTACCTGACAGTGTGAATGTGTCTGAGATCTGTCACTTTTATCTGACAGTGAGTGTGAATGTGTCTGAGATCTGTCACTTTTACCTGACAGTGTGAATGTGTCTGAGATCTGTCACTTTTATCTGACAGTGTGAATGTGTCTGAGATCTGTCACTTTTATCTGACAGTGAGTGTGAATGTGTCTGAGATCTGTCACTTTTATCTGACAGTGTGAATGTGTCTGAGATCTGTCACTTTTATCTGACAGTGAGTGTGAATGTGTCTGAGATCTGTCACTTTTACCTGACGGTGTGAATGTGTCTGAGATCTGTCACTTTTATCTGACAGTGTCAATGTGTCTGAGATCTGTCACTTTTATCTGACAGCGTGAATGTATCTGAGATCTGTCACTTTTATCTGACAGTGTGAATGTGTCTGAGATCTGTCACTTTTACCTGACAGCAAGTATGAATGTGTCTGAGATCTGTCACTTTTATCTGACAGTGTGAATGTGTCTGAGATCTGTCACTTTTACTTGACAGTGTGAATGTGTCTGAGATCTGTCACTTTTATCTGACAGTGAGTGTGAATGTGTCTGAGATCTGTCACTTTTACCTGACAGTGTGAATGTGTCTGAGATCTGTCACTTTTATCTGACAGTGAGTGTGAATGTGTCTGAGATCTGTCACTTTTATCTGACAGTGAGTGTGAATGTGTGTGAGATCTGTGACTTTTATCTGACAGTGTGAATGTGTCTGAGATCTGTCACTTTTACCTGACAGTGTGAATGTGTCTGAGATCTGTCACTTTTATCTGACAGTGAGTGTGAATCTGGCACTTTTATCTGACAGTGTGAATGTGTCTGAGATCTGTCACTTTTATCTGACAGTGAGTGTGAATGTGTCTGAGATCTGTCACTTTTACCTGACAGTGTGAATGTGTCTGAGATCTGTCACTTTTATCTGACAGTGTGAATGTGTCTGAGATCTGTCACTTTTATCTGACAGCGAGTGTGAATGTGTCTGAGATCTGTCACATTTATGTGACAGCGAGTGTGAATGTGTCTGAGATCTGTCACTTTTACCTGACAGTGTGAATGTGTCTGAGATCTGTCACTTTTACCTGACAGCGAGTGTAAATGAATCTGAGATCTGTCACATTTACTGACAGCGAGTGTGAATGTGTCTGATATATCTGTCACTTTTACCTGATTGCGAGTGTGAATGTGTCTGAGATCTGTCACTTTTATCTGACAGTGAGTGTGAATCTGGCACTTTTATCTGACAGTGTGAATGTGTCTGAGATCTGTCACTTTTATCTGACAGTGAGTGTGAATGTGTCTGAGATCTGTCACTTTTACCTGACAGTGTGAATGTGTCTGAGATCTGTCACTTTTATCTGACAGTGTGAATGTGTCTGAGATCTGTCACTTTTATCTGACAGCGAGTGTGAATGTGTCTGAGATCTGTCACATTTATGTGACAGCGAGTGTGAATGTGTCTGAGATCTGTCACTTTTACCTGACAGTGTGAATGTGTCTGAGATCTGTCACTTTTACCTGACAGCGAGTGTAAATGAATCTGAGATCTGTCACATTTACTGACAGCGAGTGTGAATGTGTCTGATATATCTGTCACTTTTACCTGATTGCGAGTGTGAATGCATCAGGTGCTCGGTCACTTTTCCTAACTAGGTAACACCCGTCTCCTTCACACAACAACCGTTCAGCTTCATCGCGGGTCACATTACCATGGTACCTGTAAACAAAGAATGCAATAATAACCATCAACATAAGATTACCGTCTGAACTTTGTGACCTTTGACTGACTACTTCTCCATTAGGAATTAGATATTGCCCAAATTTGTTAAGAAGTATTCCTGGGTGAAGGGGAAGAAAGTTTGTGTAAGAATTGGTCCTCACTTTCCAGAGACCTTAGGCATTGAGCCCAGATGGGAAAATTTTGAAAGTTCTTTAAAATCTTACTCTTCCTTTAAGAAAAAAATGGATATCGCCCAAATTTGGTCAGAAGTATTCCTGGGTGAAGGGGACTAACTGCTGTATAAAACTTGTATCCTGGACCCCTATGGCCAGAGAGGCAGGCCCAATTGGGAAAATTTAAGTTCTTTTAAGCTTTTCTGCCATACCAGGATGTTGTCCAGGTTTGGTCTGAAGCAATTCACTTTTGACTACAAGGCCAGACCCAATAGGGAAATCATATATTTGAAGTTTTTTATTAAAAAGGATGAATAGCTTAATTAGCCAGGTGAGCAAATGCAGGCCCCATGGGCCTCTGGTTTCAAAATAGAGAAATTTAAGTAGGATAAAGATATTTGATAAAAGCAAAACCAGCCACATGTGTTGACCTGCCAGGTCAGATCACCAGACTTTCTTCTGCATCGGAAAACAATCACTTTTATACTTTACACTCTCATATTTTCTTCCTCATGAGAACAATCAGGCTCAACATATCAACACACATGGTTGGTGTTACCAATGTAGGGTGGTGTTGCCGAGGGTGGTGTTTCTGATGTAGGGTGGTGTTGCCGAGGGTGGTGTTTCCGATGTAGGGTGGTGTTGCCAATGTATTAAATTTGTAAATAGGATTGTATTAACTTGTTAATGGACTGAATTTTTCCATTAACAGAATGATTTACAGGTAATACCCAGTATTTGATCTGGACATCATCTGTCTTCTCAGTACATGTTTTAGGCAAAAACCAGCTTTCCTTTAGAAACACAAATCTTGTGTCCTATTTCCTTAACCAATCAAGACACAGAAACTTTGCCACAAAACAGTTACTTCACACTTCTGTACTGTGTCGGTAATTTCACTCTAAAGGCATTAGTGCATTGAAACACCGACCTTTTGTCAACATTAGTGTTCTGACCTTATGGAGATACCACTGATATTGCTTAAACTAACAGGGGTTTAGTTATCATCTGTAATTAGCTAGACTTCTGACATTAAACAGTGACAGAAGGATTATTGATTAACAGTAAAGTTTGTGTGTTGACCTTCTCAATGTACCTAAAAAGTTGACAGAACCAGTCAAGATACCTGAACACTTTTGCCGTGATCAGCAGCCATGAATCATAACTGTAATTAAATTGGTTACAATCTTAGGATGAAGTTTAGGAGAACTACTGCTAACAACAGCATCTGACAGGGTATTCATCTACACAGAACTGGGGACACCTGCTCAGAATACACAAGTATTCACAAATAGTAGGTACCAATAATGATACATCTGTCATCCCTAGCATAACAAACATGACTACCCCTTCCCTTCATCACTGATTTAATGCTACAATACATAAATTCTCCCCTGTCTACAAATACACTTAATAATAAACATTCATAAAAGATTAGAAAAATATGAATTACCAAGCTGTTTATTCATCATTTTCAAGGAAATTTAATTATATAAATATAGATTCAAACCAATATCATGACACATCCAAACAAGAGATCCCAGAAGGATCTTGGTGCCTACCATTGTTTGATCTATATCACGACACATCCAAACGAGATCCCAGAAGGATCTTGGTGCCCACCATTGTTTGATCTATATCACGACACACGACACATCCAAACAAGAGATCCCAGAAGGATCTTGACGCCCAACATTGTTTGATCTATATCACGACACATCCAAACGAGATCCCAGAAGGATCTTGGTGCCTACCATTGTTTGATCTATATCACGACACACGACACATCCAAACAAGAGATCCCAGAAGGATCTTGGTGCCCACCATTGTTTGATCTATATCACGACACATCCAAACGAGATCCCAGAAGGATCTTGGTGCCTACCATTGTTTGATCTATATCACGACACACGACACATCCAAACAAGAGATCCCAGATGGATCTTGGTGCCTACCATTGTTTGATCTATATCACGACACATCCAAACAAGAGATCCCAGAAGGATCTTGGTGCCCACCATTGTTTGATCTATATCACGACACATCCAAACGAGATCCCAGAAGGATCTTGACGCCCACCATTGTTTGATCTATATCACGACACACGACACATCCAAACAAGAGATCCCAGAAGGATCTTGGTGCCCACCATTGTTTGATCTATATCACGACACATCCAAACGAGATCCCAGAAGGATCTTGACGCCCACCATTGTTTGATCTATATCACGACACATCCAAACGAGATCCCAGAAGGATCTTGACGCCCACCATTGTTTGATCTATATCACGACACATCCAAACGAGATCCCAGAAGGATCTTGGTGCCTACCATTGTTTGATCTATATCACGACACATCCAAACGAGATCCCAGAAGGATCTTGACGCCCACCATTGTTTGATCTATATCACGACACACGACACATCCAAACAAGAGATCCCAGAAGGATCTTGGTGCCCACCATTGTTTGATCTATATCACGACACATCCAAACGAGATCCCAGAAGGATCTTGACGCCCACCATTGTTTGATCTATATCACGACACACGACACATCCAAACGAGATCCCAGAAGGATCTTGACGCCCACCATTGTTTGATCTATATCACGACACATCCAAACGAGATCCCAGAGGGATCTTGACGCCCACCATTGTTTGATCTTTATATGCTCTATGGAAGTTGTACCTTTTCCCTTCTTTTCCCCTTTTTTTCTCTGTTTTTGCTTTAAATGATAAGATATTTGAACATTCCTTTGCAGAAATAAATGATAATCTTTACCTGCCAAATCCAAAATGGCCACCTGGAAGCCATTTTGTTGTTTTTGATCTGTCCCAAAATCAAACGAGGACAAGGAGAGACCAAAGGGAACATATGTAAGAAATATGAGTGACATCCATTCAGTACTTCTTCAGGAAAGCAATAACAATCTTTACTAGGCAAAATTCAAGATGGTTGCCTATCGGTAATTTTGTTTTTCTGATCAGTTCAAAACTCAAAAAAGGGCAAAATTAGGGACCTAAATCGCCTATTCAAGAAATTTGAGAAAGATCTATACAGTACTTCTTAAGAAAAAGATAATAAACTTGCAAAGTCAAAATCCAAGATGGCTGCCTGTAAGCCATTTTGTTTATCTGATCAGACCCCAAATAAAACTGGCACAACAAGGGACCAAGGAGAACCTACATATGAAATTTAGGAAAGATCTATTGAGCATTTCTCAAGACATAGCAAAGTCAAATCCAAGATGGCCAAGATGTGAGAGTATGTGATATGGCAGTGAGTGATGTGATATAACATGGTGTGACAGGACATGACACAACATAGTTTTGCTAAAACGCTTACTATCAGTAAAGTGTGTCCTAGTTTCAATATCGATATAGATATCCTCCACACAAACTGTGTCCATAATTCAGGTGTTAAAATCAGATGGAACCAAACTGCTGTTTGGCTGACAACATGAAAATTATTTCACCAATATCCAAACTTAATCAACAAATGTCACCTCTATAATCAATAAATGTCTGGAGTGATCTTCCTTGGGGATCACGTTGTCGTGGAACTCTTCATGCCAAACATACACAAGACATCCACTGAGATCACTCTGCCTAGTTTATATACAAAGTCTTACCATTCATACCTACACTTAGTTATTTATATCACTATAACAGTAAAATCATTAAAGTCTCCCCTATAGCTATACACTACTTCTTAAACTACTCTTGAAATGGTGATTAGCATTCAAACCATAATACAAACAAAGGTGCAACAGTATTCAGTCTAATGACTGTTCCTGAATTTCCTGCATCTAATGTTCTAATCCATAACATATAACTGACAAGACAGCATAAGCCACCCCTCCCCATCCCTAACCCCAACCTCTAAAACCCATCCATCACCCACCCCCTCATTCCTAACCTTAACTCCAAGCCTATCCTGCATACCAAAAACCCCCATACCTAACCCCAACCTCTAAAACCCATCCATCACCCACCCCCTCATTCCTAACCTTAACTCCAAGCCTTACCTGCACACCAAAAACCCCCATCCCTAACCCCAACCTCTAAACCCATCCATCACCCACCCCCTCATTCCTACCCTTAACCCCAAGCCTTACCTGCACACCAAAAACTCTCATACCTAACCCCAACCTCTAAAACCCATCCCTCACCCACTCCCTCATTCCTACCCTTAACCCCAAGCCTTACCTGCACACCAAAAACCCCCATACCTAACCCCAACCTCTAAAACCCATCCCTCACCCACTCCCTCATTCCTAACCTTAACCGCAAGTCTTACTTGCACACCAAAAACCCCCATACCTAACCCCAACCTCTAAAACCCATCCCTCACCCACCCCTTCATTCCTACCCTTAACCCCAAGCCTTACCTGCACACAAAAACTCTCATACCTAACCCCAACCTCTAAAACCCATCCCTCACCCACTCCCTCATTCCTAACCTTAACCGCAAGTCTTACCTGCACACCAAAAACCCTCATCCCTAACCCCAACCTCTAAAACCCATCCCTCACCCACTCCCTCATTCCTAACCTTAACCCCAAGCCTTACCTGCACACCAAAACCTCCCATACCTAACCCCAACCTCTAAAACCCATCCCTCACCCACTCCCTCATTCCTAACCTTAACCCCAAGCCTATCCTGCACACCAAAAACCCTCATACCTAACCCCAACCTCTAAAACCCATCCCTCACCCACCCCCTCATTCCTAACCTTAACCCCAAGCCTAACCTGCACACCAAAAACTCCCATACCTAAGCCCAACCTCTAAAACCCATCCCTCACCCACCCCTCATTCCTAACCTTAACCCCAAGCCTATCCTGCACACCAAAAACTCCCATCCCTAACCCCAACCTCTAAAACCCATCCATCACCTACCCCCTCATTCCTACCCTTAACCCCAAGCCTTACCTGCACACCAAAAACTCCCATACCTAACCCCAACCTCTAAAACCCATCCATCACCTACCCCCTCATTCCTAACCTTAACCCCAAACCTATCCTGCACACCAAAAACTCCCATCCCTAACCCCAACCTCTAAAACCCATCCATCACCCACCCCCTCATTCCTAACCTTAACCCCAAGCCTAACCTGCACACCAAAAGCCCCCATACCTAACCCCAACCTTTAAAATCTGTGTAATGTTAGCAAGCCATAAGTTAGATTGTCATATCTATCACAAAATGTGTCTTTAATGAAGATGAACAGAATTATACCTTGAACTATAAATAATCATGATTTTCAATACTTACTCTTTTCCATAAAACTGTGGTTTGTTTGGAACCTGAAATTACAAAAGGAACATTAATTTGTCTACCAAATCAAGTCTCCACAAAATAGTGTTTTTTGGAAAATTGAGCCCCCGTGAAAATACATGATTATATATTACTACATAAATACAGTTAACAAAAAACTTTATCTGAGCAAAGAACCTGTCTGTTGAAATTGAGCTTGCTTTGTTTGGTTTTAAGACAAAAGTATCTGTGAAACTAATGACTACTGCCTGAAAAAGACTTTATTGGACACAAAATTTAGTTACACTGCACTTCTCCTTACACAGATCTATTTACTTTTTTAAGTTTCATGTTGATACCTCTTATAGTGTTTGTGATATGCTCTGGACACAATTATGGCAGAGACAGATGGAAAAAATATAAAAATAAGAATTAGAAATTAAAACCAATTTTTGTTCCTCTATGTTACACCTGCCAACTCTCTGTATTAAGGAGCTAGTACTTCACAATACTGACACCAATTTTACACATACATTATGGGATATTCTCTAAATTTCAATTTCTAAAATTTAGTTTGACCACCAGAACAAATAAATATGCTAAGGTACATTAAGTAGTGATAGTTTAGTGTATTGGAGTGCATCAGCCCTTAAGGAATATATTTATCAAGTTGATAACAATGATATTTAATCTACAGGCATATATCCTCACACAACCTGATTTTCACACTAGAAATCTAATAAATTGGTTTGACTTCAAGGTCATCATTATATTTTCTCAAAAAAGTAAACAGGAAAGAATTTAAAACTGATTTATGCAGAACTGTAGATATCATGAATGGCATTGAATTTTGAGGAAAATAACATCTAATTAGGACTGAGGACTTCTAAAATGATATATTTCTGTGTATTTCCTTAAATTCAAAAAAAATTTACTGGGCATAATAAAAAATAAGAAAGTTGCCTGTCATTGTTGAAATGATACATATCTCACCTCATACTGACAAATAATCCTTCTTGGTTTCGGTGCTTGTAACTGTAATGTATATACTGTGGAAGATATAAAAAGAAAATTTGTTTTAGACAATATTATCATAAACTGAGATTACATATAACATATCTTACAAAAAAAATCAATTTAATGTCACATAATCAATTTTACGTCACTAACTCTTTTTTTTGACTGGATGATTGGCCGATTTGAAGGTATGTCAACAAAATCCAAATGGATACGATTTCTTCAAAATCATCACCTGACTTTAAATTATCATGATTTTAAAATCTACGATATCTAAGGTCGAGGTATGCACAATGAAGGCTGTAATCATTTACCCAGGTATCAAATCTCTAAATTTTACAGTTCGTGTCAAACTCCAAGAAAGGGGAGTTTCTTACAAAAAGAGCAATTCAGTATTTTCTGAATTTTTCCTCATGACTCCTCTGAATAAACGACGTCTTAATAGACAAAATTTTTTCAAAGAAGTCTGTGACTTCCTGTTTGATATAATGAATGTTAAGTGATATAGGTGCTTTCTGAAAGTTAACTGGAAATCAATAAATCACTTCAATAAGGATTGAATTCACACCATGATCACTACAATATTTGAATGGATGACTCTAAAACCAATTACCAGGTCTACCTATAGACTAACACAGACACATTACATGCCTTGTAGGAGTCTATACAACAACATTGTGTGAAATTGAAGTTTTAGAAATCGAAACTCTTCAGACAATTTTGTTTCTTATCATTCAAACACAATTTCACACAGATTATGATAGAATCACATACTCTCCTTATATCATTATATATATCAGTCAATTCCCACACATAACCAGATGGGTAGTATACAAATGTGGATGGATTAAAATATAAGATGTAGAAGTCCTTTCCCTATGTCAAGGGGTGGGCTTATTACAGGACAATTAACAAGTGTTTGTAATTCTAATGAACAGCAGCAGATTGGGACCATAACTTATGAATAGGTATGGGGCAATTGGCAAAAAAACCCAATAACATATACCTTTTTTTTTTCTTTTCAAAAAGTAGATTTAAAGTACTATGAATGACTTCAAGACCATTATGATATCAGAATTCATTGCATAGTAACAGCAGGTGAGCATTATGACGTCAGAATTGTTTACATAGAAACAGAAGGTGACCATTAAGACATCAGAATTGTTTACATAGAAACAGAAGGTGACCATTAAGACATCAGAATTGTTTACAAAGAAACAGAAGGTGACCATTAAGACATGTGTATTGTTTACATAGAAACAGAAGGTGACCATTAAGACATCAGAATTGTTTACATAGAAACAGAAGGTGACCATTAAGACATGTGTATTGTTTACATAGAAACAGAAGGTGACCATTAAGACATCAGAATTGTTTACATAGAAACAGAAGGTGACATAGAAACAGAAGGTGACCATTAAGACATCAGAATTGTTTACATAGTAACAGCAGGTGAGCATTAAGACAACAGAATTGTTTACATAGAAACAAAAGGTGACCATTAAGACATCAGAATTGTTTACATAGAAACAAAAGGTGACCATTAAGACATCAGAATTGTTTACATAGACACAGAAGGTGACCATCAAGACATGCGTATTGTTTACACCGAAATGATAATGGAAGTAAATTAAGACGTTCCACAAGACTGATAACACTGTCTTTAAGTAATCATTTATATATTTTTAAACCATTATAATTGGAAGGAGACAAGATGTTGAAGGAAAGAAAATGTTGCTTATAAAATGGCAGAGTTCTGCAGGCAGAGATACCACTGCACTTTTTGTCAAGACGATTAAATGTTTAATCTAAAAAATTGCGGTTTACTGATATTCACTTCATTTACAAGTTTCTGATATTAACAGTCCAGCAGATATGCAGGTGGTGTTTACATTTCTCAAATACAAATTTTCAAAGATAACTACAATGTTTTGTGTTAGCGATGATGTCAGCCTCACCCGCCACCTGCCACGTGCAAGGCTACCTCAATGAAACATAGTGGTTTAAGCCTCTAATTCTTATAGATTCATAGTCAGTTTTGCTAGGAATCCATGTCCTTTTAATAAACTGTTTGTACTAAAAATTAAACATCTAAAGGGGAGAGAGTACTGCTACCAATTTCTCCATGGTCCATACTTTCCAAAACAATGTTTACATACAACCATAGAAACAAGTGTTGTCACTTAACACCATAATTGAAATGCATATGACTATTTTAAGAGGCTTGATGCCACCTAACACATCAAGAAACCTAAAAAAAAAAAAAAAATCCAGTAAATTCTAAACAAATTTCTGCGACCTGATTTTTTTTTATAAATTTCAATGAGATAACATACTGCAGTAAAGCAGAGTGAACATTTCAGAGCTTTACATGTGTTGAGATCATAACATATGAGATCTCATAGTGTGTAAGAGTTGATACACCAGGTACTTGTTAACAAGGTAACAGCCCATAGCATAGCTAGATAACACAATGTACACACTGCTGTATCCACCTGGTATTACCCAGCACCTTCAAAGTCTGACACCAAAACATTCAATCTTATCTCTCTTATATTTCCATCTTTTCCATTTTTTTTTTCTCTTTCTCTAAATAAGTCTTTAATTTCTCACCTGATCAGCACTTTAGATTACTAATTTCATGTAAGTATGAAGTATATTTCTTAAAACCTTAAGCCATACCTATTTCAAAACAAATATTCAACAAAACAAGCAGGCTTTTTCATTATTACACAAAAACATAAAAAACCGGTACGCTCAGCACCTTAAAGGTATACTTATTGGAAAGGCTGAATACTGAGATGGTTGAGGGAACTAAGTAGTATTTTGAATGAAAAACACTTTGAATTTTCCCTGAAAAAATGTCGAGTGCACTCATGTACAATAAATACATTTGACAGAAAGCTTACTGGTAATCAAGGAACTTGCAACTTCTAAACTATCATTTTCCACTTGCACAGTTGACCTAAATCCAGAGATTGATGACGGCCTCAGACAAACACATTAACACACCTCAAATACAAAGGGAGGCGGTCTTTTAATGATCAGAGATGTTGATCAGAGGTTGTAAAACAAAACCTGCACAGCCTTTACAAATATACAGAAAGTCATCTAAACAAAACCTGCACAGCCTTTACAAATATACAGAAAGTCAGCCTTCACAATTATATACAAAACCTGCACAGCAAATATATACAAAAATATACAGAAAGTCATCTAAACAAAACCTGCACAGCCTTTACAAATATACAGAAAGTCATCTAAACAAAACCTGCACAGCCTTCACAATTATATACAGAAGACCTGCACAGCCTTCACAAATATATACAGAAGACCTGCACAGCCTTCACAAATATATACAGAAAGTCATCTAAACAAAACCTGCACAGCATTCACAAATATATACAGAAGAGCTACACAGCCTTCACAAATATATACAGAAGACCTGCACAGCCTTCACAAATATATACAGAAAGTCATCTAAACAAAACCTGCACAGCCTTCACAATTATATACAGAAGACCTGCACAGCATTCACAAATATATACAGAAGACCTACACAGCCTTCACAAATATATACAGAAGACCTACACAGCCTTCACAAATATATACAGAAGACCTACACAGCCTTCACAAATATATACAGAAGACCTACACAGCATTCACAAATATATACAGAAGACCTACACAGCCTTCACAAATATATACAGAAGACCTACACAGCCTTCACAAATATATACAGAAGACCTACACAGCCTTCACAAATATATACAGAAGACCTACACAGCCTTCACAAATATATACAGAAGACCTGTGCAGCCTTCACAAATATATACAGAAGACCTACACAGCCTTCACAAATATATACAGAAGACCTACACAGCATTCACAAATATATAGAGAAGACCTACACAGCATTCACAAATATATACAGATGGCCTGCACAACCTTCACAAATATATACAGAAGACCTACACAGCATTCACAATTATATACAGAAAGCAAATCTAAATATTTCCGCACATAATCTATTCTCATATCAGTATAGATAGTGTAACTCAAACCTCAACATTAAAGCACAGTCAGAGAGCATAATCTATACATAATTCAACAGGCTCTTGGTACAATCCAGCCACATGATATGTATTATGTGGTTCTGCTGTATATTTTGCAGAATATATCAAAGCAATAGTTGTTTTTAAGTCTTTTTAGTAGCAAGCACATCAACTAACATCTTGTTGTGGAACTGTTATGTAGCAATATCAAGATTTTTTTCTCAGATTTCTGTCCAGGATAGGTACTCTAAAAAGTAGAACAAGGATTATAAATTATATAACATTCAAATTCTATGAATGACAAGCCAGGACTGTAGGCTATCAGTATACTTTGAATTGTAGTCTGTTGAAAAAAATCAGCTATCAGTTGGTGTTGTATACACAGAAGATGGTGCCAGCATCCGTTGTGATTACAAATCCATCTTTGTTATGATGAAACATATTACATATTAAACTGTAGATGTTTTATCACACATAGGGAAATCCTATAGGAGAGATTAGTTAACACACATACCTACACAATAAATCATATCAATTAATTAAGGAAGCCCAGAGCATCCTCCTCTTGGTTTATCTTAAGTCTATGATTTGTTCTGCAGTAGTCTCCCTTAATTAGAAAAGCAGTCTCCCTTAATTGGTGAGTACTCTCCCTTAATTAGAAGCGTAGTCTCCCTTTAATAAAAGAGTAATTTCCCTTAATAAGAAGAGTAATCTCCCTTAATTAGAGTAGTAGTCTCCCTTAATAAGAAGAGTAATCTCCATTAATTAGAAGAGTAGTCTCCATTAATTAGAAGAGTAGTCTCCATTAATTAGAAGAGTAGTCTCCCTTAATTAGAGTAGTAGTCTCCCTTAATAAGAAGAGTAGTCTCCATTAATTAGAGTAGTAGTCTCCCTTAATAAGAAGAGTAGTCTCCATTAATTAGAAGAGTAGTCTCCATTAATTAGAAGAGTAGTCTCCATTAATTAGAGTAGTAGTC